TTATTTCTTTATTTGTTTTTTTATTTTCTACGTAAATGTGATATTTTTTTATTTATATGAAAAACTAATTTGCTAATAAAATATTTAATAAAAAAGTAAATTAATGCTAATAAGAAATGATGTGTAACTAATTACTGGCAAGAGGAAAAAAAAACTAAACAAAATTCCTCTAGTTTTCTATTTTTAATGATCAAAGAAAAAAATTATTTACCGCAAAAATTTATTGAATCACAAAAAAAGTTTTATATAGTTGTGGTTGAGAAGATGCATTTCACTGCAGATAGTCATCAGTTCAATGTAATCTGATAAGAAATAATTTATTCCCTCATGCGGCGCAATGTAAACTTCTTAGTACTGGCGAAAGTTGTTTTGAATATTATCACTAAATATTGTTTCAATTAAACACAATATTTTAATTATTAATAAATAATTAATTAATTAATCATCAATATAATCTCTCGCCCACTTTGTTGATTAATAATTTTTTTAACATTTTCTCTATGTAGGAGACTTTTCAAAAAATCCCTTATAGGGTAAACCAGACATTAGTCGGCTACTTAAGAAAATCTTTTTAATGAATACTGTTTAAAAATTACAATTAAAATTTCTTTAAAATTTCTTCCATGTGTGATTGTTCCTAATGATCCTACAAATCTAGTATACCAATCATGTTTGAAAAAAAAAATTTTGTATTCGTTAAAAAAATTTACAAAAAAAAAAGTTAGAATCCGACAGTAATCGGACACCTGAAGCAATCTTTTTAATTAACACTGTTTTAAAAGTGCAATTCATATTTTTTTCAAATTCTTTCATGTGATGTTGTTCCTTACGATCACACCAAACTATTAAACCAATCACGTTTATAAAAAAATTTTTATTCGTTAAAAAAATTAGTAAATAAACAAGTAAGAATCGACTTAAAACAGCTTTCAAAAACCGTACAAAAAATTTTTTTTTTAATTACAAAAGCTTAAATTTGTTTATGATAACCTTAGAAATGATTAGCAACAAACAAAATATTTTTATTTCATACGGTTTTATAGCTATTCAATATTGAAAAGTGTCCGATTACTGTCTGGTTTACCCTAATAAGAAAAAGACTATTTTTATTGTAAACAATAATTTTCGAATAAACAAAATAATTGCTTTCAATTTCGTCATCTTTTTAGCGATTTTTGAAAGCCGCCTACAAAATTTGCTATTTTCAAATAACAACTTCATTTTTTGAAAAATTTCAGATTCAAAATGAAAGAAATCCACTTATTTACTAATTAATTATTATCATTTTCGCAAATTTTAATAAAATTCTTCGCGAGAATTAAATTTTTTTCAAATTTTGTTTTTATTTATTTCTTATTTTATACATTTTTTAGTTTATTTATTTCATTCACTAGCAAAGTCCTACGCGCGCGATGCGCGCGTGAATGATTTAAAGAATTCAGAAAAAATTTAATAATTTCAATTTATATTCTTGCATGTTTACAATAGTTATGATTTTTAAAAAAATGTCGGTATTTCAACTATATTATCATTTCCACGCCTCAGAAGCCATTTAAAAAAATTGCAAGAAGATCGAAGGCGGGGAAAGCAGTGATTTTTATTTTTTGTCACGGATTTTTCAGAAATCCTAAAATATAAAAGAAATCAAAATCACTGCTTTCCCCGCCTTCGATCTTCTTGCAAAATTTTTTAATGACTTCTAACATTAAAATAAATAATTAGCAAACGAAAAAAATTGCTTCCAAGGGGTGGAAATTATAATTTAGTTTAAATACCGAGATTTTTAGAAAATCCTCGAAAAATCAAAATTACTACTTTTCTTGCCTTGGATCCTTTTGCGATTTTTTAATGGCTTCTGTTATTAAAATAAATATAATTACCAAGTGAAATGCCTCTACTCAACTCAAGTTTCAAATGTAATTTTTATACATGTAATTTTCTCATGAAATCCCTCAAACATTTTTTAAGCTCATATAAATGTAATAAAATTCAAACTCAAAAGATTTAAATTATAATTTCTGCAAATATTTTAATTTTTATTCTTATGTTTCTAATAATGGTTGGGGTACAGTTTTTCTAAATCGTATTTTCTAAAGTTTTTTTTCTAATAAAGGTGAATTTCTAAAAAACTTTTTTCTAATAAAGGTGATTTTAAAATTTTCTGTCTTCTAATAAAGCTAATTTTCTAAAAATTTATTTTTCTAATAAAGGTAATTTTTAAAATTTTTCTTTTTTCTAACAATATTCTATTTCTGTAATCACGATCAATAAGTACATATGATTAAAAAATAAAATTTACGAAAATTTGTTAATTCTTTAAAAAAATACTTGATATTTCGTTAAAAAATTATATTAAAAAATAGAAATTATGCAAATTACTTAACAAAATTTTTAAATAATCTAGTTAAAAATCGTAATTAAGAAATAGAAATTATAGGGATTTTTTCCCTAAAGATATTTAAAATTATCTAAAAAATTTTTTTATAAATATATTAACTTTGGAAATTTAAATGTAAAAATGATGCAAATTATTTTTTTTCAAAGAAGAATAGAATTTTGTTAACAAATTGTGATAAGAAATAGTATTATAAAAAATTTTCTTCATTTTTAAAAAGAAACTTATAATTTTGTAAACAGAATTGTAATTGAGAAACAGAAAATTTAATCTTTATTTTTAAACAATTTTCTAATTTTTATCAAAATTATGGAATTTTAGAAATTTTAGGAAAATAAACGTTAAAAATTATAACTTTTTATAAAAACTTTTTTCAGAAAACAGATTTAATTAGTAATCGCCTTTTTAGACAAAAAGGTGTAGAAAATACTTTTTTTTTAAATAGTGTTCGCCTACCCTAATAATTGTTAGTATTCATCCGAAAAATATATTGAATACATTGAAATGTTGATAATTGAAGGAAAGAAATGTTTAATAGAATTTATAAGTATTATTTTTTCTGAAATAAATAAAGTACCCGATTCTGCGTAACCGGAATGGCAAGAGTATCAAAAAATGTAAAAAATGCGGAATTTTTTTTTAAGTTTATTGAATTATCATTTTATAGGAGACTGAATTTACCAAAAGAAATAAAAATTCTAAAGATTTAATTGAAAAACACTATTTTAATCATAAAAAACATACTAAATATTTAAACTTCAAAATTTAAGTGTCTTTAATCAATTTATTTTTGTCAAACAAAAGTGGCAAATAAAATTCAGTTCACTAATTGAATAATATTGTAAAAAGAATTGTTCGATGTTAGAATTTAAACTTTTTATCAATACCAAGTTTGAGAATTTCATTAAATTTATATATAGGAATTTACAAAATAATTGAGAATTCTTGAAAAAATTACATGTATTTACCATTTTTAACATCAGTTGAATAGATCCACGTCTTGATCATTTTTCTTCAATTTGTAAAAAAATTTCTTTGCATCAAGTGGTTATCACACATATGGGAATACTCATAACCAAAATTTCTATCAAAACTAATTACTATAGAAAAACAAAAGACGACACTTTCTGTTCACGGAATAGCAAATTATTATTATGTATATTTTTTATTTCAATTATTATAGTAGCATAACTACAGGCGCGTGGAATTTTAAGTCCTACTGTTAGTTACAAAAACTTTCTTTTTGAAACTAATGAAAATTTAATATTTTTTGAAAAATATGAGTTTTCGAAAAACGATTCTTCAAAAATACGATAACATTTTAAAACAATTTTAAAAATTTAAAACTAGGTAATAAAATTAAATTCTTTCAAATATAAAGTTTATTTCAATGTTATTTAGAATTTATTGTTATTTATTTGTCCACCAGGAATTAAAATATAAAACCTTTTCAAAAATTATTTCTAAAATTTTAATCGAAATTCTTTTTTAAATCAATTCTTAATAGAATTCAATGATAATTGAATTATTTAAATAGGTTCAAAATTTTTTGTAAAATTTCATTATCTTCCAAATTTTTATGTTTTTTTTAAATATGTACAATAATATTTAAAAATCATTTTTAAGGTGAGAAAAAATAAAATTCTTTGAAATATAAAATTTATTTTAATGATTTTTTTTTAAATTTTCTATTTTTCAGTTTTTTAAATTATTTCTGTAAATTTAACTATTTTGAAAAAAATTTAATTACGATTTTTCAAAAACCTCATTATTTCAAAATTATTAAATTCAATTTTTCAAATTTGACTAATTTTTGTTTAATAAATATTTAAAATTAAAATTTCAAAATAGTTTCAATGTAAAACACTAAAAATCTATTTAAAAATTAATTGTCAAACTTTTGACATGACAATTTGAGCTGTAAAGTAATTTGAAATCAAAAAGCCCTTATTTCACGTGATATAAGTAATGTTATACTATGCCGTTTTTGTGTTTTCCAAATATAAATAAAATTTCACTCAAAAACGTTCGAACATTGACTTTAATTGTTCATGAAATATTTCTATTTTTTTTTATTTTATTTACAAGTAATAGTGGGTTAAAGATTTTAAACTTTGTTAATGAAAAAAGGGAAAAGGAAGAAAATTAATAGAACTTTACACCAACTTAAAAGTTAACAGTAGTGAAAAGTACTTATCGAAGAACTAAAAGTTTCGTGCCCGACTTGTTTCGCTAATGGTGAGAGATATATATTTTTTTCTCTCTTAGAAACAACAACCTTCTCTCGTGAAATTGATCTTCTCAATGGCACGTATAAAATTGTGATTCATTATATGGTGAAAAATCCAATGATTTTTTTTTGCTTACAGGGAAAAATGTATTATTCAAGAAAAAGAATATTGTAAAAGCTTCAAGTGTGAAATAAAAATGATCTCGGTGAAAACCTATCTATTTAATGAAAAAAGAATAGAAGAAAAAGGAAAAAGAAAAAGAAAATTTTCAAAATATAAAAGAATTTATAAAATGATTTGCAATATTCTCCGTTTCCTTTTTTTGTATTATTTCTGAATTTGAAAATAACATAATTTTATTTGTTTGTTTACAGGCGAAAATGTCGAAATCGGGAAGTATAAAAGGAAGTATAAAGGGGAGTTTAAAGGAAGGAGAAAAAGGATCTTACGATCCAGTTCCAGTGAATGGAGATGGAGGCGATGAAATAAAATTAGAAGCAAAAATGTCACTTCTCAATGGTGTCACAGTAATTGTTGGTTCAATTATTGGTTCCGGTATTTTTGTCAGTCCAAAAGGTGTTCTAGAATACACGGGAAGTGTTAATTCCAGTTTAATAGTATGGACAGCCTCCGGTCTCTTCTCGATGGTAAATTATTTTCTTTTTCTTTAAACTTTTATAGTTCATCAACTTTTTTCAATTAAGGTAAAGTAATTTAATAGTTGCAAATTTTTTCATAGTGAATTTTTGTTTCATCATTAAGTTACGTCACTAACTTCCGAGTAATAATTATAAATAATTTTTAATTACACTATCGGATCAAGCCAATTTATTTAAAATTGAATTTCATTTTATTATTTCTTCTTGTTTTTTCAAGTTTTCATTAATTTTTTTGTTTTATTATTTATAAGGTTAATAAAAATTGTATTTTTAACGCTCTAACTAGATCATAAATTACAAACATAAATTTTTTATAAATATTTTATTTATAATAAATATATTACATTTTTTTGTCGGAATGCAAACAAATTTCCTTCAAAGAGAATAATTGTAACGAAATTTTTAATTGTTTGAAAATTTTTCAATTAATTGTTTTCGGAATTTCAATTACATTTAAGAAATTTTAATTAAATTTACGTTTCTGAAGTCGGCGTCGACGCTGAATGTCTACAAAATATTTTTTCCACGAATCCGAAAAAAATAAAACACTTTTTTCGATGGTTTTAAGTTGAAAATGTATTCTGAAAAAATTTTTAACTCACTAGGGAAATAGAAGAGGTGAAATTAATACCATTTTCATCTCTAAAAACCCAAAATAAAAATTTTTTATGCTGAACATAGACGCTAACTTCAGGGATGTGTAAATCTTAGTTAAAATTTTTCAGAAACCTACTTTTTTCTGAATTTCTAAATAAAATTATTCAATGCTTCAGTAATTTTGTTAAATTATTTGAAATACTTATTTTTATTTATTTGTCCGCAAGAACTAAAATTTTTAAAAATTACAATTTTAAAGCTTCTGAAATTTAATTATTTCTAAACACTACAACAGTAGTTCTAACAAAATTTCATTATTTTTTAGAATTTTTAAATAAAATTCTTCTTTAATACATAATTATTTTTAGTAATTTTGAGAAGATTTTTTAAGAATTCGATTATTATTTAAGAAAAAAAATTTTCATTTAAAATATATCTAAACTTAAATTGTATTCAATTATTTATTACATTTTACGATATTTCGATAATTCGAAAGTTTTTCAATTAATCATATATTCAAAATTGAATTAATTTATAATACATTTGAATCAAACTTTAAAAAAACTAAGTTCTTCAGAATTTTTAATTTTAATTATTAAAAATAAATTTTTTTTTAAATTTCAATTTGAAACGTATTTGAAATAAAAGTAGTATTTTATATTTAAAAAAATTAGTATTATAATGCAATTTGTGGAAAAAATGTCGAAAAAAACCACATTTCATTAAAATTAGTCGAACAGGATTGACACAAAAAAGGGAAATCAGGAAATTCAAAGGAAAAATTAGGGAATTTCTTCAAAAGTACTGGAAAAATATTAAATTTCTAGAATTCATAGGAAAATTCTAAATTTTTGTGTCTAGCAACGTTTGAAAATAATAAGATTTAATGTTTCTAAAATTTTTTTTCTTTCTCTTATAAACTTTGAAATCATCAACAAGTTTAATACGAAAAAATTGTTTTAAAATTGTTTGAATTTTCGAATATATATTTAATTGAAATATTTTCGCATAATTGAAATTTAGTAAAATTGAATTGTAAACAAATGGATTTCAGAATTTTTTTTCAAAAATTATTAAAAATTATTGATTTGGAGAAGAATTTTTGCTCAAAATTCTAGAAAATAATTTTGAATTTAATAAGTGATGCGTTTACAATTTTTATAAATAATTCAATTTCAAAAGGTTCCAATTTCAAGTTTCAGAAAATTAAAATTTTAAATACTCTCCAACGCCGGCTTAGCGGACTGTCTGATAAGGAGTCGTCCGTTAAAGGGAACAATACCTTAACAATATCTTTAACTAGGCAGGACAAAGAAAATCGTAAATCGCAACCCAAAAATCCGCTAAACCGGCATTGGAGTATAATTATGATTAAAAATTCTGAAGAAGTTAATTTTTTGAAAACGTTTTATTCAAAATGTTTTTAAATTGCTTGAAATTTCTTAAAATGTAATTGAAAACATTAATTTGGATTTTAGTATTATTTTAGGTTAATTTTCTTTGCATATAATTGAATTCTCAAAAAACTATGTTTTTAATTAAATTAGATTAACCTTAGTCAAGGAAAAGGTCCACATTGTGTATGGAAATCAGGGAAAATTCGGGGAAAAACAAAATCAAATTTTTATTTTACAAAAAATGTTAAAATATTTAAATGTTAATTTAGTTAATTTATTATTTAAATCTTTTTTAGTTTTTAGTATTTTCTAACACGATTGAATATGTAGTTAGAAAAAATGTTATTCAAAATAAAGTTTTTAATTGAAGAAAAAACTAAAAAAAGGTTTTTTTTGGCATAAGTAGCTCGTTTGGTGATTATAGATTTTTTGGTTTCCTTTTTATGAACTGTTTTAATGTTAAAATTTTGATTTAAAGGTGGGAGCATATTGCTACGCTGAACTGGGATGTATGATAAGAAAATCAGGAGCAGATTATGCATATATTATGGAAACTTTTGGGCCTTTTATGGCCTTCGTTCGATTATGGATCGAGTGTATGATAGTGAGGCCTTGCAGTCAGGCAATTGTCGCTTTGACTTTTAGCAAATACGTACTGAAGCCTATGTTCCCAGAATGTGAACCTCCTGCGGAAGCTGCTGCCCTACTGGCTGCATGTTGCATATGTGAGTCTTTTTTTAACAATTATTTCTTTATTTTACTTTCAACCACAACAATTGAGGGTCCTGCTCAAAGAACTGGTTATAATTTTTTAAGGCTCAAAATTCTCTCCTCTTAAGGGGGAAGTCTACTGTGACAAGGGAAAAAGCAGGCCGATTTTTGCGGATTTTTTTTCTAACAAAATATGGTTGTCATCTACATAGTATTGACTCTCGTCTGACGAAGGATTTTGTCGATATCTTTTTTTTATTTAATTGTTATAAACAATAATAAAATCAAATGTAAAAAAAATTGAGAGAGAGAGAGACTTCAAACTCTTATTTCACGAGTATTGTTGTAGAAGAATAAAAATAACTGGAATTTAAAGTAAAAAATGACATTATTATGGGAAAGTTAAAAAATGTTTTTATTGTTTTTGTCGTTTCCGTAGCATGCCACAATTTTCACTTTAATGGTTTCTCGTAATGATGCTTTTGCACGTTAGACTTCTCCGTCTGGTCGATAAGCCCGACAACAGACTTAATTGACTGATGTGGCTAACATTTCAACCGAATCGATTTTTACTTTTCTGCAAACTTCGCTCTTTTACTGGGGATTAAAGATTTAATGCACAAAAGACGAAGACACTTGAGTGATAAATTCCCATCGATTATTTTTCAGAACAATGGCATTTTTTTGTTTCAATTTAAATTCCGTCGATAAACCATTTTCAATTCATTGATACACAAGATTGATTTATTTTCATTTATTAATTTATGATAAAAGATAAAATTAATATAAGTACTCAACCTTATTCGAAAAAATAATTATCTTTTCAAATTTTCGATTTTCTTTTCTGTAAATGATTCTGTTATTTATATTTATTTACTAGCAACAATTCGCACCTGGCTAACTTCTTCCTCACTTTTTTAAATAAAATTAGCAATTTTAAAAATAATAGAATTTTTAAATTTTTAATTCAATTTTTTTTCATAAAAATAAAATATAAATTGGAATATAGTTTTAATATTATTATAACTATAATTATACTAATCATATATTCTGACACAGGAAATTAAGGGAAAAGTCAGGGATTTTCATTAAACGTACTGAAAAAAAATTTAATTTTAAGAATTCATATAAAAAATTCAATTATGTTCAAAAATCTTTTTAAATTCTCGTCAAAATTTCAATTCTCTTTAGAAATAATAAATTTCTTCTCCGAAATTCAATTATATTCAAAAAAATTTAATAAACTTCTTGGCAAAATTTTAATTATTTTCAAAAATTTTCCTCAATTCAATGATTTTTAATATCTATTATTTTCATACAATTTTTCAAAAGAATTCAATTATTTTAGAAAATTTTTAATAAAATTCTTCGCAAAAATTTCATTATTTTAAGAAATAATTTTCTAATAAAATTGATTTGAAAATGAATTTTATTTTAAATTTTAGATAATAATTGAATATTAAAAGCATTATAGCGCAAATTTTTAGATGTTGGAGATTTAAATTCCGGACGTTGTGATCCAACCTCTAGCTTCCGGCGCTAGTTGTATTTTGTATAGGACTGTTCCGTCTATTCACTAATTCTTTTTCGGCTCTGACTTACGTGCGCGCCTAATGAACATTTTGTGCTGTGCTTGGACTTTATTCGTTTAAACCCTTTGTATTTCATTTCTCATTGTAGTTTCTTGAATATATAAACACTAAGTAAAGTATCTAAATATTGTTTCCATTTGCCTGGACTTCCTCAACATTAGAAATAATGGAATTTTGAAAAGTTTTAAAATTAAAATATTTGAAAATTTGAATTTTTCATACTTTTAACTAACACTAACAATTCGAAATTTCGTAAAATTTGAATTATAAACAAATAGATTTGAAAATTCTCAAAAAACTTTTTCAAAAATTATTAAAAATAATTAATTTAAAAAAGAATTTTACTTAAAAATGTTAGAAAATAATAATTGAATTGAAATGATAAAAATAATCTTTATAAATAAGATCAGACTTTTGTCTGTACATTGCATAGAATTTGAAAATTCATGTTTAGTTTTTCTATTCGAGTAGTAAGAATTCCAAAAATGACAATAAAAAAAATTATGTATGTATGCATGTATGTATGTATGTATGTCCGCAATATTTTCTCCGGGATAAACATAAAGACTACTTGACCGATTAAAACGAAACTTTACAGTCTCTTTGGTCTTAGTCTAACTTAAATTTATAGCCATATCCGATTGAAAAATATTAAGCTGAACGAAAGTTATAGCTTTTTCACAAAATTCAAAAAATCAAAAAATGCAAATTTTTAAATTTTTTGTCAAATTGATGTGACACTTTTTGTAGCTACTTTTTAATATAAATACAACTATTTTTCACTATAAAAATGAAAATAAATAATATATTCGAATTTTTAAGCCAAAATCATATTTTTGATTTTCGACAAAATTTTTAATTAATTTTTTTTTGTTGAATATTGTTTAATTTTTTATGAAATTGGTATTAATATCGGTTGCTGTTTTTAAATTTTAAATTACATTCATTACATTTATTTTATTAACAAGTTTAGAGTCATGAATTTGATGTCTATTACAAATTTTCTAAAATCAATGAACGTGAGTTTGCAAACAATTTGTATATTGATATTTTCAGGTTTTAAGTTTGAAAATTTCATAGTATGTATTATTATATTTGACGTAAAAAATAAAATATATATGTTCAATATAAAGGGTACAGTAAAAGTACCAATAAAACTGAAATTTTACTTCAGCGGGCACTGGGACATAGAAAGTCCTGAAGACGCCATTAGGGCAAATTGGGATTTATGAATCAAAATTTTCTTATTTTTGAATTCTAGAAATGTTTTAGAAATTACTTCAAAAATAAATAACAATTTCCTATTTATGAATTAAAATTTTTCTTCTTGAATTTTAGTAATGTTTGGGGTATGATGTTACTTTCCAAAATTCTATCCGGGCATTACGCAGAAATGGGTAAAATGTAAAATCCCATGTGGAAATTTTCAATAGGGATATGGAAAAATTATACCATACGGTTTTACATGGGGATCCGTATGGTTTCCTTTATGAAATTGAATCTCATGTAGATTCCCATGTGGGAATCGAAAAAGTGTAATAGTTTCTACTAATACATTTAACAGAGTGTCTATTGACTGCGAAGGAAACCTGAGAAATACCCGGGAATTTAATTCGACCAGGAAAAATCGGGAATTTTCTTATATAATTAAAAAAAGTTTTATTATATTAATTCGTTTTTAACAAATTGCTCTTTGCTTTAATTTCTATTGATGTAATATTTTTATTTGTCAAAATTTAAGACCTACTTTCAGCCTACAATATAGGTCTTATTTTAGATTTTAGCAGTCGTAACGTGGGGCCCACTTGCGATACAATTAGTTCGAATTAGACTCTATATATAACTCCAAAATCTGGTAGAAAATTAGTATTAATTATTAATACATTAATTGAAATACTACAAACGCATAAAGTACTACAAATTGACAAATACTGTTCTGTAAATCTGAATTAGTTGAAAATAGTATTTGATAGAAAAAGTCATTTACTGATTCAAATAGTAATATTTTCCTAATGAAATAGATAATGGTAACTATAATTATTAGTTTTTCTTATTCAAATTAAATTCCCGATTGGTAGACACCTGTTGAAATATATCAGTAGAAACTAAAACCCGTCGAAGACGGGTACGACAGCTAGTTTTGAATAAGTTACAGTAATAATATTCTAATAATGTAAAATAATGATTTTATCACTAGGTCATTTTTAATTATTATAAAACATGCAGATATCGATTGCTCCGAGTTGAAGACTCGGAGTCATCGATTTCTTCATGTTTTGTAACAATTTTTTATAAGTTGTTTAATTTCAAAAAAGTTTTAATTTGAAATTTTTGAAAATCTTAATTCCTGTGGAAAAATAATAATAATTGAATATTTATTTAAAAAAGAAGTTATTGATATTTTCGAATAATTTTACAATTTAAGAAATTCGTAAATAAATGTAACAGAACATTTTTTTTAAGTAAAATATTTTCCTGTATTTTCTAAAAATTTTTCAATTTTCAATTTCATTTTCAAACAAACCGTTCAAAACCCCTTTTTCCCGTATGTTTAAACAATTTTTTTCAATAATTATTTATCAAAATTTTCCAAAATTCCGAGAGCAGCGCGGGTCCCAGAGCATTTCTCTATATTTACCAAAAAATCCCGACTCAAAATATTCTTTTCTTTTTAAATGAGACCGCGATCACGAAACCATTATTTTTTCCCGGATGCCCTTAAAGCAATTAATAATTATGAAATAGAAATGATGCAAATTATTTCCTTATGAAAATTGAGAATTTTCTACAAAAATATTGTGAAACGGGAATATGTAATATTTTGTTTCCCAAAAGAAAAGAATGCGTTTGTGAAGAATATTGTTATTGAGAAATAAAAATTGTGCACAAAATGGGCATATTTCCTATTTCTTAATCATTATGTTTTAACAATTAACAATTTACCAATATTTTTTATTAATGAAAAAGAGAAAAATTTGCTTAATTTAGATCAAACGAAATTCGTTATAGGAAAAAGCATATAATAAACCCTATGTTTTTTATTCGCTAATCATAATTTTTTTTAAATTTTCTAATTTCAAATATTTTATTATAAATCATGAAAAAATACCTGCTTATTTTTGATTTGTCAAACAGTATTTTTTTTAAGAAAAAGAAACAAAAGCATACACAAAAACTAACTTCAAAGTGTGAAGAGACAGAAAAAATGAAAGAATATGAAAATTATTGTATAGTTAATACCTAGTTAATTAAGGAGATTCGTCCTTAGAAAAATCTAAAATATTCTTCTGTATTTATTAATTAATTTTTTCAATATGTTGTAGAAATATTTTTCAAAATACATCCAATTGATGACGAGGAGAAAATATTAATCGAATTTTATTTTGAATTATTTCTCAATAATATTCTCCATTAGGAAGGAAGGGAATAAAAATTGCTTAGACAAAAATAGTTGTCGAGTCGATGGCACGATTCAAGGGCGTCACGTGTATCTCGTGCGACATAAATTCGATTGTCATTAGCAGCAAGTCTAGATCATCGCCAGTGAGACCAGTGACTCAGAGAGATTATTATAATTTTCCACACTCTACATTTTTCTATGTATATGAGAAATAGAAAACGACGAAGAAAAAGAAGAGGAAAAATTAGAATTCTTCAATGTTTATAAAATAACAACTTATTGACGTTGACAATTGTTTGAATTTCTGTTCCACGAAAAATTTGCAAAACGCGACTGATGCAATATCTCGCAGAATCTCGTGAGATGACCTCGTCAAAGAGTTTTTACAGTGGGCACCTCTTCTCTCTTCTTCTCAATATTATATATTGTCCTTCTCGATTGTATTCTCTCCTTTCACGCTGCTACTCCCCCGGTTTTGTCTTCTTGCCTTTTTCTCAGTAAATATTGAGTGGCCCCTCATTCTTCTCTTCTTCCTCCTCCTCCTCATCATCATCATCGTCATCATCATTGTCGTAAAATTGATTGTTTGCGACCTCTTTGGATATTATCTATGGGGACGCTTCATATGAATTACTCTTTGCTATCATCATCCGTTATTATGTTATTAAATTACTTTCGATTATATCAAGATACGATTGATGCTTTTGACTGAAAGCGAACAACTGGTTACGTTATTGAATGAATAATATTCTCTCTCACTTCCACTTGGATTCATTTCGTACTTGGAGAATAGAGTACTCGATATACATGATTGTTTAGTTCCTTTTTTTCCTCAATTCTCAAACGGTGATTGTTACACATTTTTTTTCTTTGAAATCTGGAAAATTTCAAAAATGGAATAAATATTCCATTTTTGTTCAATGCATTTTTATTCCATTCGTCAGGATTTTTTTCAAAGGAAATAATTTAGATATACTTTAGTAAAATATTGAAAAAGTTCTTTGAATTTTTTATTCGCAAGCTTTTACTGTCTAGATTTTTATATAGTCGAGTTTTTAATGTTTTTATCGAATTCTATTAAAACTAATTTTCATTGGGAAATATTAGTTCTAATAATTCAACTGAATTTAATTTAATTGAAGCTGCACTTAGTATATTTTTTCTTTACAAGATTTTTATTTCAATTTTTAATTAGTCGAACTTTTTACGGAATTTACTCGGGAATTTTCATTAAACAGAATTTTTACTTTGGCAAATTTTATCTGCTAAATAGACACTCGTGGGAAACGAAATTTGTTTAATACAAATTGTTATTTAGAAATTTTATTTCAATAAATTGCTACTTTTTTGAATATATAAAATTAACAGAATTTTTTATTTAATGGAATTTCGAGAAAATGCAAAATTTATTTAACAAAAAAAATCTTTACTTTATTTAAGAAAACTTTTATTTAATGACAAAATTTTCGTAAACAGTTTTTACAGAAATAAATTTTCATTTATGAAAATTTTTACGTGTTCTTATTACTTATAATTTATTTTACTAAACCCAAAAATATATAAAAATTTACTATTTTGAAAAATTTTTTACTGAATAAAAATAGAAAATTTTTACTCTGGAAAATTTGTTAACTAATTAAAAATAGAAAATTGAATTATTTTGGACAATTTATTGTTATTATTGTCATAATTATTTGTTATACTTATTTCTTGTTTTTTAGTTTTGAATTTGATTTTTTTTCTAAATAAAAACAAAAAATATCTACTTTGGTAAATTGTTTGTGAAAAATTAAGAAAGACACTTTCTAATTTGGCATTTTTTTTACTATAATATAAAAGTAGAAAATTCTTACTTTTTGCAAAATTTTTTAATTAAAAAATTTTTTTTAAATTGTTATATTATAAATTTTCTATTTTTGCAGAAATTTTTTCAGGAACAACTTATTAAAGTAAAATTAGAAATTATTTATAAAACAATTTCCAAAGTAGAAATTTTCAATTTTTACTAAGTAAAAAAAATCTGCCCAAGTAAAAAATTTCTATTTTTTCTGAAATGGTTAAAAACAAATTTTCGAAATAGACATTTTTTATTTTTACTTAGTAAAAAAATTATGATTTAAAATTTCTGGAAAAATAATAAATAAAATTATATTACAATAAAAATTTGTCCAGCAATACATAAAAACTTTTTAATTTTTTTAATTCGAATTGAAAAATAATGGAAATTGAGATCACTTTTTAAAATTTTAAATACTTATTTCCTTTCACAGAATTTTCTTAAAACTTCTTTCCCAATAAGATAAAAATTATTCGCAGGTAATGAAGAAAGATAGAAAATAAAATCAATGAGAACTTGACCTTCTTAGCAGATACTGAATGACCACAAAATTCGATATTTAAATTTTATGGTTCAATCATGACTTGCTGCACAGATTTCATACAAAGTTTACTTTTTCTCTCGAAATCGATTATTATATAAATCCAAGGCACTTGAAGACAGTTTTTTATATTTCTGATTAAATTTTATTTTTTTGTTTTATTTTATTTCTTTTTTATTTACATAAGTAGACGAGACTAGTGTTTTCGTTCAGTTAGTACTCCTAAATATAATTAAATTAATTTACCGAATTTACGAATATAAAAATATAAAAAAAAATTCTTGACAACATTCTATTTCTAGCTCTTTAATAATATAATAATTATATATCGGATTCAAATTCACGTATGTAATTGATAATAATTTTTGAAACTATGATTTCCTTTTTCTTTTGATAATATAATTTTTAATTTAATAAAATATGATTGATGGGTAAAGTGCATAAATAATACAAGTATCGGGGTTTTTTTTAATGGCTATTAAACTAGCCTTGGGGAAATTAATTGAAAACCCATTAGTCAATAGAAACGTTTTATTATAAAAAATTTTCTTGTAAATCTCTTTTGATGAGAAAAATGAGAGAATGTAATAAACTTTAATTGTTTTATTAACGAGCATATTTGTGTTTTGCTGAAAGGTTAAATTTATTATATTTATTATATTTCAACCATTTCAACGATGATAAATTTATAACTAATAACTCAATTAGGAAAGTGATTGTTAATATTTTTTTGCTTGGAGAATTTTTTCTTTATTTTCTTGTAAATTAAAAAGAAATAATATCAGCTTTATTATTAGTTGAATTACATTTTTCAAGGCTTCTTTTTTCGTTTATTTTTTTTATGTATTATTTATAATTTTTCCTATTTTTCCAATTTTTCTATTTTTTTCTATTTTATTTCTATTTTTTTCCTATTTCCTTAAGTCTAGAATTTAAAAATAACGGCTTCAATTTCTTAAAACACGTTTTGATTTAATTAGACAAAAGAAGCAATATTTTTTTCCTTTATTCGTCTCCCACTAATTTCAATTTTTATCTTAGAAATTTTTTTTATTCTTTTGTCGTTTTGTAGTAAATACTTCTTTAAAACGTAATTTAAGAAAATGATACATTATTTACAAGGAATTTTTGAATAGTATAATTTAATTGCTCTTTGAAAATTGGAATTTATTTTGAAGTGATTAAAGGTCATGAATAATTGAATTTAAAAAAAGGCAAGGACGTTCGTCCTGAATATATACTCATTTCAATGTTTAGTTGAGTTAATTGTCTCGTTATTGGGCTAATAGAGAGATACAAAATTTAAAAGGTTGAACCATTTACGAGACTTTATTTTGATTGTATCTTAAAATCAATTTCGGTGGGAAGCTGTCAAATTTAATTATGGAGTAAATAAGGAACAAAAAAAACACTTTTGTATTGAATAGGTATTTCATAAAAATATAACGAAAAAAAAATACAAAAAAAAAATTTATTTTGTAATTTAATTTATTATTTGTCAAAAAGAAAAAGCAGGAAAAAGGAACTTAATTTATGTTGATTAGTTAGTAAAATCAAGGTAAAAAGTTAGTAAAATGCAGTGAAAAAAGTAAAATTAATAAAAACATTATTTGTTAAAAATTATTTTTTGTTATAAAAATATTTGATTTTTTTTAATAAAACCTAAAAAATGGTAATAAATATTAAAAATTGTGAATAAAAACTAAAATAATTAATTAATTAAGTTAATAAATACTGAAAATGGTACTAAATAAAAAATTGTAATTAATAAAAAAAATTGTAAAACTAATTAGGTATAACTAATAATAAAAAAAATTACATTTTATGTTAATAAAGTGATTATTAAAGTAATGAGAAATTGTATAAAATTGGATAAACATTGAAAGGATGCATCACGCGTTTTGCAAGTAGTGATAGGAGATTGCAGTCAGACATTAGTCAACAATCAAGTGTCAGTATAACTTAATTTCTCTTCATAAATCAGAGCAGACGGAGAAATACGAAATGAAGTCAATCTCTGTTTAAAAAAAGAGAAAAAAGAAAAATCTGTTTCTGAGCTGTTTACAGGAAACTGGGTCAACCTACTTCGTATTAGGGGTACAAGGACTTAGATTCTCAAATGCGCTCCATTATCTTTAGTGATAATAATTTTTTTGTCAAGATTTAGATGAATATTTACGACTATTAATTTGTTTATTGGTGTAATTAGATCATTATTAATAGTCTAATCAACTATTAAAAATTGTTGCCTGTTATTTTATTTCTTTTGTAAGATCGTTTATACAAATAAAAAAATAAATAAAACTATTTATAAAATTAAATCCGGAAACAAGAGTCAATAAACAAAAATTTATGAATATAATAGGAAAAAAAATTTTAATGTTGATAAATTAATTGACATTTTCTTTTTCAGTTACTCTGGCGTTTATCAATTGTTGGGACGTAAAATGGGCAACGAGGGTACAAGATGTATTTACATATGCCAAACTCCTAGCTCTATTCATTATTATATTTGCTGGTGCTTATCAATTCTGTACTGGTAAGTTTTTCTACATTTTATCTTTTTTCTCTATTCAAAAAAATTAATTTCAATATTCTGACGTGATGAGAATGTAAACAAAAATATGGTAAAACAAGTTGTTCATTTCATGACCATTTAGCTTCCTCAATATATAAAAATTGCGGTTTTGCAAACTTTTGGAAAACTATGTACAAAAGGGTTCGTCCAGAAGATTTGTTAAAAATAAAATTATATAAATCATTTATAAGTTGTTATATAAATATTTGGTGAAATTTACAGTTTCATTTGCCAATTGCTTCTTTTTTATGATAGAATAATCATTTCAAAATAATAATATTAATATTAAAATAAATTATGAAAAAAATACAAAATTTGAATTTTTGGTGAAAAAGAAAAATATTTATTAATTTTATAAATTTTGATAAAATATATACTTTGTATACATCAATCGATTCGTTTTCTTGTCAGGAATGTAATTTTGAGAATAATTAATGAGAATATTAACAAATAAAAAAATTATTTCAAAAGATACAAAAAAACATTTTTTATGAATTTTAAAAAAATTGTATAAAAAAAAATTTTGTAGATATTTTCGAAAATCCTTGTGTCAGATTTTAGGTATTAATGACTGCAATAAACCTGCAAAATTTCAGGACAATCCATCAAAATTTGTATGAGATAATTTGTACACAATTTTTGTGACACACACACACACACACACACACACACACACACACACACACAGACATCCTTGAAAGAATTATTTTTTATGTACATAAATTAACAATTTGAAAAAATTGTTTAAATGTATTAATATAAATAGAAAAAATCAATTTTTTGTTTGGCTTTTGAAAAGATGAAAAATTATTGATCCTTGAATTTATTGAATCACCTTGAAATAATTCAGCTGTCGGAGCGTTTACTTAAAAGGAAATAGACAGCAGTTATTTCAGTGGATAAGACGAATTTGATTTTAGTTTACATATTACATATTTTTAAATATTTATACATTTTATTTAGACAATTGCAGTAAAAGTAATACTATACATTATTTAATTTAAATTAAATAATGATAGTACCTAAATAAAACAAAATAATATTTTCCTTTGCAAATTTTTCTAATAAAAGTAAAAAAAACTTTGAAGAAATCTTTTTTAGACAAAAATTTATATAGACAAATATATTTTTTAAATCGTTTCGATCATTAACGTTGTGAATTTTATCAATATTTTGAATAGATAATTAATAATTAATAATAATAAAGAATACAGAATTAATATTAAGTTATTATTTATTTAGTAGTAACATTAATATTAATTAATTAATTAAATAATTAGTAATTTTAGTTAATTATTAATTATAGGTAATAAATTAAAAAATAATAAATTACAATTAATAAATAATTTATAATTATACAATGAATAGATAACTGATAATTTCAGGTAACAAGTAATTAATAATTAGTTTTAATTTATAATTACTGATACTAATTATTGAAGAGAGAGAAATATTCGGAAAAATGATAAAGCTAAAGAGAAGAAAAACTTTACTGTAAAGAGAATTAATAAGTGAGAACAACTTTTCGTTTAAGGTAATTGATTTGAAAAGAGCTTCTGATAAAATCATGAAATTTGTGTCAAACTCTTGTCTGTCGAGTGTCGGGACACTTGCCGGACGAGACAATTTGCCCAATCAGAAAGGTGGTTAAATACGATTATACACATAACAAGTCGCGTGAAGAATCTTTAAATTGATCTATTCATCCGTTCAAGAGAGCTACTTCTAACTCAACATCTCTTCTTACAAAAAGAAACCCTACTTCTTTCTATAACTCTTTAGCAATCGATTCTCACAACAATTATTTTAATCCAAAAAAAAGTTATCAGCTTTTCTTCGACAATTAAAAAAAAATAAATAAATAAATAAAAAAGGAAATTGGTTTTAAAAAATGTAAATTTTATTAATTACACGATTAAAAAGATAAAATTAATTGCCTGTAGTTAAATATTAAATTACAATTTATCGTTTAGAAAAGTTTCTTCTTTCTATTTTATTTAATTTGTTCTTTAGTTCAATTAAATTAAAATTAAAAGAAAACTTTATCGTTTTTGTCGTCAGTTTTTCTTTTGTTAAACAATCGATTTACAATTTTAATAAAAAAAATATTAGTGTTTTTCAACAATTAAAAGAAATCCTGAAAATTAAAAATTCTATTAATTAGATAATTAAAAAGAAAATTAATTACATAAATATTAAATTACAATTTATTGTATAGAAAAATTTGTGATTACATTTTATTCCGTTTTTTTAGTTCAATCTAAAAATAAAATAACTCAAAAATTTAATATCGAATTTTTCGATAAGCTTTTCGAAAGCTGTGATATAAGTTATTTTAGGGATATTGAAATTTTTTGAAGCATTTTATTAATATTTTTGTTGGATTTTTTTGTTTTAGGACACACTGAACATTTTACATTTGAAAATTCAAAAACTGAAGTAACGAGCATTGCGCTAAGTTTTTATTCAGGTTTATTTGCATATAATGGATGGAATTACTTGAATTTTATCATTGAAGAATTAAAGGATCCAGTGAGGTATGACAATAATTTATATATTTATTTAATTAGTTATTTATTATTTATTAACAATAATGAACAGAATTAATTTGTATAAATTTAGAGAAAAATGGAAAATTTACCTTTGTTATAAAAAAATCGTAATATTTATTCTTTTATTTCAGAAATTTACCTTTGGCTATTGGATTGTCGTGCACTTTAGTAACAATCGTTTACGTATTCACAAATGTTGCTTTTTACACGACTCTTAGCCCTCTGGAAGTTTTGGGAAGTGAAGCCGTTGCAGTGGTAAGAAATCGAAAACGATTTTAAAAAATCATTAAATTTTTCGCATAAAATTAATTGTTTTTATTCAATTCTTTTTTGTTATTATTTAAAGAATATTTTTTTAAAATTGTTTCTTATATAAATAATATTTTTAAACAATTATTTACCTGCTTTTTTGGAACTTAAAAAAGGTTTTTTTTACTTTTTTTAGTGTCCTTTTTTATATTCCTTTTTTTATTTTCTTATTTTCTTTCTTTTATTTTCTTTTTTTATTTTCCTTTTCTATTTTCTTTTCTTATTTTCCATTTTTATTTTCCTTTTCTTATTTTCCTTTTTTCTTTTCTTTTATATTCTTTTTGATAATTTCCTTTTTTATCTTCTTTGTTTAATTTCTTTTTCTTTAACTTCATTTTTCTAAAGCCATAAAATTCAAATAAATTGGTGAAATTTCTTCATCATCAATTCACAAAATAAAAGCTTAAACAAAAAATATTTTTAATCATTGGAACATGAACGTTGTGAACTTAATCCATATTATTAAAATTTCTTTTAAAAAAAAATCAATTTAAAAACTCTTTAGTAAATTGACTGTCGAGTCAATTTACTTAAAATATTTTTTTTAATGAATAATTTAAAAAATTCCTGTTTTTAAAATTCTAGACATTCGCCAATCAATTATTTGGCCTATTCGCTTGGACGATTCCAGTTTTCGTAGCGTTATCATGTTTTGGCGCAGTGAACGGTATTTTATTGACTTCATCGCGACTTTTCTACGCGGGAGCATGCGAAGGACAAATGCCGGAACTTTTGACAATGATTCAAACATCAAGACTAACACCAGCACCTGCAGTTTTGTGCATGGTAAAAGAAATTTTTTTATTTCTATTTTTTTGTCAATTTATTACAGTTTTTTTAACCAACTAAATTTGAATTAATTTTGTTGTTTTAAATCACTATCATAGAAATAAGAATAATTATTAGTAGACATAAAGAAAGAATTTATGTACGAAATCAGAAAAATTTGATTTGATTCTTTTTCGTCTTTTTTAGGCTCTACTGTCAATGGTGTACCTGTTTTTCCCTGATATTAATAGTTTGATTAATTACGTAGGATTCGCTACTTGGGTAAATATGAAACAATTCTATCTCCAGTATTTTTAATTTTCTTTTCATTTTTTAAAAATTTTTTTCTTACATTCTCATAAAAGATTACAAGGTATTGGAATTGAAAAAAGTTAAATTGGTTAAATTAACTCAATTGATACTAAAAATATTTAAACATTAAATATTAAAATTTAAAATATATATTAAAAAATAACCTCTAAGTGCTTTTAATTAAATAAAAAAAGGAAAGAAATGAAGCACACGAGAGGAATTGTTATAAACTTTAAACATGATTTACGCCACTTTTGATAAATGAGTAAATCGAGCACTGCCGGCAATGTTGTGCAATTATTTTAACAAGTCTTCTTTGTTTGCTCTCGTTTGTCTACATTTTATAAAATTTTCTCCGTTTTCACTTTATTGAACTAATAAATTTCTAACTTCAAAAATTATAGAGAAAAAATTTTTTCTAAATTAGATTTTCAAAAATAATTTTTATTTTACCCGTTTTTTCATAATTTTGAAAATTTTGTAAAGTTTGTAATGCTGTTTGTAAATTTAGATTTTAAATTAAATAAATAAATAAAATAACTATAAATAAAAGAATAAATAAAATAAATTATTGAATTTAATTTTTAAATTCTTAATTTGGTAAAGCTGGTAAAATAATATAAACTACTAAAAATATTTATTCCAGAATTTCCACTTATATTCAACTAATAAATTTCTAAATTCAAAAATTATAAAGATAAAAAATTTTATAAAATTAGATTTTCAAAAGCAATTTTGATTTTCGTCCTATAATTTCACTTTTCACCCTTTTTCATAAATTTGAAAATTTAAGTTTGTAAGTACTGTTCGTAAATTTAAATTTTTTGAGAAAATTATATTTTTGAAAGTCTTCAGGTGAGGGTTTGCATACATTTTTAAGTATATCAGGAAAACACCAAGAAAATGATTAAAATCTTCCATACAATTATTTTTATAGTAGGTAATTTTTTGAGAGAAATTCAATGGGCATAAAATAAAATCGGTCAGAAAATATTTGAACCCATTTTGAATTTTTATTTTTCTTAAAAATTGATAGATTTTAAAATCCATCTGTAATTTTGTAGAAAATATGTTTTTGTATTGACAAAAATATTACCGAATGAAAAAAATTATTTTTACTATTTTTGTAGCATTTTTTTGAAAAAACATAGTTTTTAAGGTTGAAAATGCTAACAAGTCAATTTTTTAAAAAACTTCCACTTTGCATTTTCCGTGAATGGTAATTAATTAAATTTCGAAATAATCACTGTTACATTAAGAAAAAAAATTGTTAATAAAGAATTATATTAATTTAAAAATATTTGTACTTAACCAACAAGATTTAAAATTTTAGTTTTTTTCAACTAAAGAAATGGCCAAAACTATAAAGTTCATTATTTATAATTCAGTTTAATTAATAATGGGACTTCTAAGTACAAAAAAGTATTCTGCATTTATTTAAATTTCTCGAAATAGTAAAAAATGAACTTATCCACTTTTGGCCGCTGACTCCTCAAATATAAAATACAAGAAAATTATGATAAAATTATGATTTGAAGTTAGTTAGAAAAATTAAGAAATGAATTTTCATATAAAAAAATTGAATAACAATGGTACATATTTTGTAGCATATTCGACCTAAAAAAATTGTTTTTTTTCAAAAAAATGCTACAAAAATAGTAAAAATCAATTTTTCCATTCGGTAATTTTTTTTGTGAATACAAAAACATATTTTCTACAAAATTACGGATGGATTTCAAAATTCATAAATTTTTAAGAAAAATAATAATTCAAAAAGGATCCAAATATCTATTTTCTGACCGATTTTATTTTATATCCATTGAATTTCTCTCAAAAAATTACTATAAAAATAATTTTATTGAAGATTTTAATCAGTTTTTTTGTTATAGTTAAAAATATAGGCGAACCCTCCCCTTAAATTGGAGAAACTGGTAAAAAAATATATTTATAAATTTTAATAAAATAATTATAAAAAATCTGTCTGTCAAAGTTTTGGAAAACCAAAAGAGCGATACGATGCCAAAATCGATGCGATATAATATTTATTATGTAATTAAAGAAAAAAAAAATGAGTGAGTGGAAAATTGATTGTAATTAAATGTGCAGAAATTATTGTGAACCGTACCTGTGGAATACTTAGAAAAAAAATGAAGAGCCGGATGAATAGTAATTATCTAATTGACGGATCCACTTATCGTAATGGACCCTTTATTCTTTACTTTCTGTTTTGCAGCTTAGCATAGGCGTATCGGTTCTCTGCGTTCCTTGGTTGAGATGGGCTCAGCCTAATTTGCCAAGGCCGATCAAGGTGAATTTAGCATTTCCCATTGTCTACATCCTCGCGACTTTGTTCGTTACCATCGTTCCCATGTACGCCAGTCCTCTCGACACTGGTAAGGAGAATTCAATTTTTCATTTTTGTTTGTTTTAATTAGAAAACATTTTTTCCTTTTACTACCAATATAATTTTATTTAAGATTAAATGGTTAAGATAATTTAATTTTAATTATCATAATTTAAATTAAATAAAATGACGTGATATTAATTTTTTTGCTGGTTCAATATTAATGAACGTGATCGGATATTAGGTCATAATCTAAAATTCATTAAGATTTTTCAATATTAGTTTACGTACTCTTCTATTTTCTATTTTAATCAATTTTAATAAATTGTTGTATTCCGGATGTCAATTCGCAGTCTGAAGTTAATTCTTTTTGTTCGCTTATATGTTTGTTTTTTGTTTGCATTTTTGTTTCCAAATTCTTTTTTTTATAATTATTCGTTTTAAAATTTAAATGTTTTAAATTTAAAAACTACTAAAATTCTCATTTAATATTTTAAAAGTTAAATAATAACAAAACTTAATCAAACAAAATTGTTCTAATTAATTAAATTTAACTAATTCAAATTTCGAGAATTAGTTTTGTCACACAATTTTTGTAAGAAAAAAAATTCTTTTATTTCCCTTAAGTATTTTTTTTTAAATTTTGTTAGTAATAAAATTTTTTTTGACAAAGTTAATTTAATATTTTATTGGAAATAATTGAATTTTTACGAAGAATTCAATTATTTATGTTAATATTTGAATTATTTTGAATAATTTTATAAAAATTTTTGAAAATAATTGAATTCCTCCGAAGAATTTTATTACTTTTTAAAATATAATTGAATTTATGCAAAGAATATAACATTTCATTCTAATAATTAAATTATTTTAGGAATTTAGGAAAAATTAAATTATTTCGAAGAATTTAATTAAAAATGTATTGAAAATAATTGAATTATTTCGAAGGAATTTACATAAATTTTTGAAAATAATTATATTCTTTCGCGGAATTGTAAACAATTTAATTCTTCTAAAGGAAATTTAAAAAATTTTTGAAAATAATTGAATTCCTTTGAAAATTTTTAAAAATAATTGAATTGGCTCGAAGAATTGTATAAAAGTTTTTGAAAAAAATAAAGTCGTTTTGAAAAACAATTATTGATCAATATTCTTTTTAATTTTGTTTTTATTCTGATTAATTTTATTTTCTTCTTATTAATTTGAAATTTTTTTTAGGATACGGTTGCCTCATGATACTTTCCTCAGTACCTGTTTACTTTTTGTTTATTGCGTGGAAGAAAAAACCGAAATTCTTCCAAAAAGGTGTTGGTGAGTATATTTTTTTATGAATTACAAAGAAATAGAACTTCTTAATTTTTTTTTTAGAAAAAGATATATATATATATAATTATAATAGTTTACAATTATTTTTTACTGTAAGAGATATAAATTCTTTAGTAAATTTTATTAACTGCACTTTTGGAATTCAACACTTTTTGTAATGTTTATTATTTGTTTCTGTTTAATTAGTTATTTGATTAATTGTTAAATAATTAGATTTGAATTTTTTTTTTTTTTTTTGATAAAAATAATTTGATTTGAATTTTATTTTAAAATTGTTAAAAAAATTTGAACTTAATTTTGAAATTGTTAAATAATTTAATTGGAATTTATAAAGAAACAAATGGGGGGAAAATTTTGTTTTAACTTGATTTTATTAAAAAGACATTTTTATTGAATTATGAATTAAATTTTTATTGATTTTATTATTTAAAAAATTAAAATTTTGTTGTTAATTTTATTTTGAACGTTTCGCTTTTAATTTATCTATTTCTCACAGGCGCCGCTACAAAAAGTTTGCAGAAGCTGTTGGTGGTCGTCGGACCAAGATCAAAGGTTCATAAAAAACACACTATACAAATTTTACTCTTTCATGTCAAGCATGCCTATTATCTTTCTTTTATTCATATATATTAATATCAATTGCTTTCTTTTCTTTTTCTTCAATTCACCATGTATATGTTACAATCATAAGCTAGTGCACAATATATTTTTTTTCTATTTCTTTTTGTTTTGTAACTTTATTTCATATTTTTAAAAAAACTCGAAGCAAACGTTAATTTTTCTTTGTAAATTTAGAATTTTTCAAAAACCAGTAATTTTTTTTAATTTATAATTTTGCGAAAACCAACTTGTTTCTTTAAACTTAGAATTTTGCAAAAATTTTAATTAGCCAACGTCAAATATGTAAAGATTAAAAAATTTCTTTTCTACAATTTTCATCAAATTCTTTAAATTTCTATTTTTAATAATACTAATATAATAATAATAATATATGAAAGCAAAGTTAAAAAAGAAAGAAAAGAAAATAAAGGAAGTCTAGGAGAAAAAAGAAAACAGAATTAAAAAGAAAAAAGGTAATAAAGAAAATTGACTAAAATAAAAACGATCATAAAAAAATATAAGAAAATAAAAAAATTAATTAAAGAAAATAGAGTAGAATAAGATAAAGTAAAATAAAAATTTTAATTCTATTTTCATATATATATAGTTATGAGGAGAAAGTTTATAAAAAATAACCTTCGAGTTCATAATGAAAAAAAAATTGACGTAATACACGATGAAGAATTTCTTTTTTTAAATTATTGCATACTTTGAATTTTCAGTTTGCATGTCGCATTGAACATCAGAACTACAAAACACGCTCCACTGTTTATGGTACATACCTTGTGGAAAAAGAAATTGGCGATAGTGGTTTTTCAAATGGATCGTCTCTAATCAATGATCTCGAAATTTTTTCCCATAATTGGAATAAATTATAAATCACGTTCAAAGTTTTTAGGAGACAAGGATTTACCTGTGATATTGTTTAGAAATATTTCTCTTTTCTTTCTAAAGACAAAAGAGAAACATAGACGTTAAAAAACTGTTATTTAATTTATTCTTAACTTTTTCACTTGTAAAAATACTTTTACAATGTTTTTTATATATATAAAACTGTTAATTTTTTTTAAAAGCAAATTTAGTAGCAGGTTACATTTAATTTAGCCACTAAAATATTTTTAGTTTTACATCTAATATTAAATTGGAGAAATTGTTAATTGAATTGTTAATCTGTTCATTGTTATTGATTTCGTAAAGTTGATTTTCTTTAAATTTGTCGTATTTAGAGGGAAAAAATATTTTAACTTTCTAAAATTGTTCTAATTTTAAGAGAATTTCGTAGTTTATTTTTTATGAGAAGCCAATTTCTTTTTATGGTTCGATGTAATATTTATAGGGACATGCTGATAACAAAATATATCTACGCAATTAAACAAAAGATGATGAGATTTTGTTTGCAATAATTATGTAAATATTTTGGAAAATTGATCTCATTTATAATTCTGCCAAAGACACAATTGTAACGTTAAAAAAAAGTCATAAATAAAAGTTTATATTTTTTTAAAGAAATAAAAAATTGAGATTTTGATTTTTAATTCTAAATATCAATATTTATATTAATTATATTAAATATATCATTTCAAAGCGGATTAGAAAATTTGAAAATTGTTGGAAGAAAAAAAGTGATGTTTACGTATACTTTCTTCCATTTTTTTTTCGTGAACAAGTGTTTTTCAAGTGAATATCATATGTGGTTTTATCAAGTGAAGGAATTTGAATTTCAATATTTAGAAAAATGCACATCACGTAATTATTTCTATTTTTCACTTCTTTTCAATATAACAATAACTACAGAGGAATTTAATTTATATTTCGACTTAAATTTCACTTATAGTTTTTCGTATGTTAAAAAATTATGGAATTTTTCTTGAATTTTCTGAAAAAAAGAAAATAAAAAACAAAATTTTAAACAAATTTTTTAAATTGATACATTTTCTTAATTATATAATTTCTAAAATAATATTTCTAAATTCTAAAAATTTTCTAAAATAAATTCTATTATTTCATTTTTGACAAAAATATTTCCAAGTTTCAATTTTAAAACAAAATAAATTTCACTTTTTCCACTTATTGTAAATAAATAAAATAAAATTTTGTTCCTAATTTTGTTATTTAATAAAAAAATTAGAAACAACTTATATAAAAATTTAAAAGGACTTTAAAAATCTCAGAAAAAACATTGCAGACAGAATCTCAAAATCTTGAAATTTACAATTGGGAATTTAAATGGAAATTTTTATTCTAATTTTAATTGGAATTGATAAAATCAAAATTAGAAACTGAGTTCAATTAAAATTATGTAGATCAAACAGAACTAAAAATTTCCCTTAAATTTACATTGAATTCTGCAATATTAACTTTTTCTAACTGTTTTCTCTAAATATTCGATAGCCGAGTAAATTAATATTTTCCAAATACCTGATAATTTCTAATAAATTTTATTATTTTTCATTTTAGAAAAAATAATATTTGTAAAAATAATTTTATTGAAAATATTTGATATAAAAATTTTCAAAATATTTTTTTAATTAATTTTTAAAAAATATTTGTTAAAAAAGTTACTTTACTAACAATATTTGTTGAAAAAAATAATTCTACCAAAAATATTTGTCATGAAATAAATTTACCTACTAAAAATATTTGTTGAAAAAAATAATTCTACCAAAAATATTTGTCATGAAATAAATTTATTAAAAATATTTGTTATAATAATTATTTTATTAAAATAATTTGTCCTAAAAACTGTATTAGTAAAAATTTTTACGAATATTATTTTAATGAATATTTATAAATATTTTTAATTTTAATTAAAGAAGTAAAATTTTTACCTTTTGAATACAAGAAAAAAAATCTGTTTCAGTGAATTCCACCAAGTTCCTGCAAAAAATAATGCTCGTCGTCGGCAAGTCGAAACCAGCTCAGGTCTAGGAAAGCTGATATTCTCTATAGAAACAAAAAAATTGTTGGTGATTCGCTTTTCTCTTCGTCTGGCACGAAGTTCTATTAATTAAGTAAAAAACAAAAAAAAAGAATGATATACACTGAAATAAGAGAAAACAAAAAACACATCGGAGAGACATTTTACGAACTTTCCACCGTATTCTGTCTTTCTTGAAACGAAAAATGCGACTGGTCTTCCAAAAAAAAGAGTCAATCAGCCATTACGTTTGGAGGATCTCAAGCATCGTTCGTTTCTTAAATTCTAATAGTTATTAGCCATTCGCTTCTAATTCTCGAATCAGCAGCAAAATTTGTAAATAAAGCGAATCCAAAAATTCATTACAGAATTAAAAGAAAAAAAAATGCTTTTCAAAAAGTAATAATAATAAATAGAAATTTAATTTAATAATTAATTCACTAAGAAAAATTTATTTATTTAAGAGGAAAAATTAATTTTTAAGAGAAAAATTTATTTAAAATAAAAATTAATTTTTAAGGGAAAGAAATTAAAATTATTCCACAAGGGCGAAATATATTTTTTTTTTTGATTCTGTAACGAAAAATTTTCATTTTTTTGTTTTTTTTTAAAATTGTTTCTGATTCGATAAAAGAAACAAAAAAAACTGGAAAAATATCATTCAATCGCTGCTGTACCATCAAATAAGATTAGTTGTAATTTCTTAATGAGTCATTAATTTTATAATTTTTCTCAATCAGTATTATCTCGAAATGATTTTAAATCTCCCAGTGATTTTAAAAAATCGATACAATTTCCCGTGTTTTATTATTCTTTTCACTATTTTGATCGTAGAGCAGCAATATTTTAATGTAATATTAATTACTCATCATTTTATCAAATGAAAATAATTGTAATGACAACAATAATACGTATTTATAGTGTATCTTTAAGCACTTCAGGCAACAAAAGAAAAAATCTTGTGAGGCTATCTTTAAACAAATTCGATTTTTCCATATTGAAATAGAAAGAGAGAGAACGAGAGAAAGAGTGAGCGGAAAGAAAAGGAAAAATCGTCACTCATTTTATAATTAACACTGCCTTGATTTATCAGAAAGCAAAACAATGATGCAAAATAGACAATATCAAACTTCGCGGACTCTCTTTTCTTTTTAGATTTGTCTCGAGGAATTGTGTATTTTTTAATCGAAAAAACGTGATAAACGTGATTTTTTTAACTGATCAATATTATTTTTTTTAACTTTTCTTGAAACGAATTTCATTTTTAACTTTTGTTAAAAAGAAATTATCTTTTAACTTTCGTTAAAAAAATTAATTTTTAAATTTTGATAAAAAACAATTTAATTTTTGACCTTTGTTAAAAATATTTTAATATTTAACTTTTGTCGAAAAAAATTAATTTTTAACCTTCGTTAAAAAATGTAAGTTTTAAATTATTTTTTTCAATTCTTTCAATTTCTCCCAAATAATAAAACTTTTGGTGATGTTTTGAATTTTTAATATATTTATCACATTTCAAAAGAATTCTAATTTTAAATATATTAAATTAAATTAATTGCTTTTAATATTTATTGATTCATCAAATAATTTTAATTCAATTATTTAATTTAAATTTAATAATTTAATATTTAATTGAATTCAATCAAATTTTAATACTTAATTCAGCTTTTTTAAAAAATGTACTTTTTTAATATTCTGTTATAGTATTTACACAATAAAAAAAAAATTGAAAAAATGGCAGATCTCAAGTCGTTAACGAACGCGACTATTAGTTGTAATTTAAATTAACTGCCATGAATTTTAAAATGGACAATATTACACGAAAAGAGAATTTTTGAAAATGGTCCTAAAAAAATTTACTCTTTACATTTAGTGGTGCGAATTTACATTGTGAATGAAAAAGAACTTTTATTATACAAAGAGAAAAAACACTTTCTCTTAAACATTCCATAATTACACTAGTTTACAAAGATTTTGATCCGCGGTATTATAATGTCATTTCTTATGTAAAATTTGCTCCTGAATCCGAATCTGAAGTCAGATAATAAGAAAGTAGAACAGTTTTCGAGGTATGGGTAAATTTCAAATTTTTGAATTTCGACAAAAAGTGGATTCACTAATATACCATTATTTCCGAATGTAGTCGATCGATTTCAATTTTCTTTGAAGCAAATTAAAGGTAATTTAATTTCCAATAAAAAAATATATACAACATTTTTAATTGGACTGGCGGTTTAGGAGCTAGTTATGAATTTGTTTGGAATTTCTCATTATTTTTAACAGATTTTTAGAAATTGTTTGACTTTTTCGGTTAATTACGTCCTAAAAAAGTGTTTACTTCAAGTTTACTTTTTTGGAAGTCAAAGTACAATTTCTTAGAAAGAATATAAGCCGTTGCCGATCAAAATTGAACTGACAATATAGAAGATATAAGCACTTAAGTAAAAATACAGAAAATTAGCTTTTATCCAATTTTACGTTTTATTAATGACATGTCGTATGGTTTTAGGTTTAAACAAATTTTTAACATTAAAATAGGCATTTTTTGTGAAGATTACACGAGCAAATAAAGGAAATGGAATAAAAAACAGTGCAAATCGAATTTAAGGCAATTTTAATGTTTAAAATTTGTTTAAACCGAAAACCATACGATATGTCGTTAATAAATCGTAAAATTGGGTAAAAACCAATTTTCTTATAATTATTTTTATTTAAGTGCTTTTACCTTCTATATTTTTAGTTCAATTTGAATCGGTAACAACTTATTTTCTTCCTACGAAATTGTATTTTGACGTCCAAAAAAGAAAACCCAAAGTAAACACTTTTTTATGTCGTAATTAACCGAAAAAGTCAATCAATGTCTAAAATTTTGTTAAAAATAATGAGAAATTCCAAACAAATTCATAACTAGCTCCTTAACCGTTAGTCCGATTAAAAATGTTGTATACATTTTTTTAATGGAAATTAAATTACCTTTAATTTGCTTCAAAGAAAATTGAAATCGATCGACTGCATTAGGAAATAATTGTATACTAGTAAATCCACTTTTTGATGAACAAAAAGTTTTGAACGTTCAAATGAACGAAATATTTTTTGTTAAAAATATTTTCATAGATTATTGATTACAATTCAAATTAAAAACTCAAATTTTACATTTAGAAACATTATAATTAATTTGCTTAATAGTGACGCAAAATTATAGTAATAAAAATTTAATTTGAAGAAGAAATAAATAAATTTTGTTCATTTGAACGTTCAAAACTTTAACCTCATACTTTTTGTTGAAACTCGAAAATTTGAAATTTACCCATATCTCGAAAACTGTTCTACGTTCTTAATATCTGACTTGATATTCGGATTCGGGAGCAAATTTTACATAAGAAATGACAGTGAAATGCCGCGGATCAGAAAATTTTTTTAATTTTGTAAACTAGTCTTATTATATTTAGCTTATAAAGAAACAATTATGTTAATTTTCCAAAATATTAAAATCCATCCGGAAACAATATTTCGTCCTTGT